CAGACCATTTCCGACTTCATTCCTGCACAAATGGTATCAGGGGGCGTCGAATTCAAACCATGTGCAAATCTCCGAAACCATTTTTTCGTGAACAGTGCCTTTAAGAAATTCGCGTACCGCGGATGATGAATACCCGAAAAGTTCTTGAGTTATGATTATTTCTTGATGCGATGCATAGTAAATAGTTTGCATGAATTCACGGTGCATCACTGGAATTGTGTTCTCCGAGCCATATTTGTTTCATGATCATATTTACGGCGCTCCAGTATAAAGCTATGGAGATACATTACCAACAAAAAAAAGTTGAGAAGTGTCTCTTTCCTTTCCATCTGACGTAAAAACATCAGTGGAAAGGAAAGGACAAGAATATTCGCAATGGAGGAAACTGCGGCAACTAGAGACTGCCCAGGTATTTATTAGTTTGCAACAAAGTTCGATCTGACTCAAATCAAATCTCAATCTCAACTTACAATTAGTTCCATTTTCCATGCTCGAATTTTAAATGTTGGTGGCAATGGGGAGTACTGTCACTATCTTTATATGTAGTCATTTATGAGTCAGTATTACCACTTCGATTAAAACGGTAACGTGGCGTGAATCGGTGGAACATTCAGTCAAGCCAACAGAATTCATCGCTCAAGCACTAGACCACTGGGCAGTTTTTCTGTTTCTGTGTCACAAAGAGAAGTTTTCTGGATGGGAGAGGAAGAGATCACTGAACCGCTCTTATAGAAGATTATTGTTACCAGTTATCTGGAGTAAAATACTGTGCAACTGCAAGAATAACATCCGGAACCAGCTACCGCAGCGATAAAAACTACTACGTACAACTACTCATGGATGAACACATTAGAACTTCCAGTATATAAGCCACAGATCGAATGGCATTGGCACCCATCAACCTTCTACACTTTCTACGCCTCCCATGAGCGGCTTCGTTGTAATCTTACTAACTGTCTTGGCCTCCACCGTCTTGTCTGAAAGTGAGTTCTCATTCCTCAACGAAAACTATTTTTGATACACACCGTTCACCAACAAAATAACATTTTCAGAACAGCACTACGGCTACGGCTCTGGTGAATTCGGCAAGGAACATCACGGAAAGGGCCAAGGCTCGTCTTACAGTAAGGGATATGTTAAAGGGTTCGAAAAGAAAGGATATGGCGAATACGGTAGCCATAGGTACGGTGGATGGGGAAACTATGCCAAAGGTGAAGAACAAGGATCGCACTATGGTAAGTTTAAGTTGACATGATAAGCCACTATCATCATAAACTATTACTGATTTCCAGGATCCGAATATGTAAAGGACCACGGGCACGGAGGGCACGAACACGAGGAGCAGGGAAAAGGATACGAATACAACGATGATGGACACCACGACCACGACCACCACGACCACGACTACGACTTCGACCATGGCCATGGCCATGACGACTTCTCTCCATTCCATAACGGCGACCACGACCATGGCTATGGCCACGACAGCCACTCTCCTTTCCACTACGGCGACCATGGCGACCACGACCATAACCATGGGCATGGTATGCCTTTCGGCAATCACCATTTCGGTAAGGTTCTTCCCATTAAAAAACTTTCATCACAATTCAATTCAATTGTTTCAGACCATGGACACGATCACCAGTAAAACGCTACCAGATACAACGACTGAGACCTTTTCGAAACTCGTTATGCTTCAAATATGAAAGAAAATAAATGTTCAAATATTGGCAACTACCCAAGAATGTTTCCATCTATTGCCCTGCAATATGCATCTATGCCGAAACAATTACCGATCGGATTCGAAGGCAATGAAATAGTTTCTTTCTCCGCAGCACATCAATAAGCTTGCGTCTCATAATAGACCTCCCAAAGCGACAATTAGGCAAACAGATGAAAGGAAGTGGAGACACCTCCTCGGGACCATTCCGTGCTTCAAGTCCAATTTTGTTATGAGACTACCATTTATTGCCTCCAGTACTTCTTACCATCTTGAAAGTTCTGTGAGCCAGTCGGTGCTAGTTTTGCTGTTTTTATGATGAAATACGGAAATATTCCTCCCCTCTTTGAGCTCCCTGGAACTAACGGAAATATTGTACATCATAATAATAGGTGCTAAAAGTTGGGACGCTCACAGCGTCAAACAGTCATTCGAGTTTAGAGTACTGCTCACAAATTTTTGGCACATCACTTGAAAGATACTCTGCAGAGGGCCAGCCATGAATAATGCCAAACTGGTTCAAACGGAAGCAAATTACCAGCAAACTATATGTGATTCGAAATCTTCGAAAAAATTTTCCAATTAATAACGATCAAAAAGATTTACATCGACGGACGAGGGAGTCAACCTACAAAAGAAGGGTGAAACTCTCACACACTGCTGCCCACTACTTGATGGAAAGGTGATCACCCCAAAGCATTATTGTACTGAAAAGATTACATGAACATGGTTCAGAGCCCATCGTGCCGGTATTAGACTGAAGGTATTTCACTGACACTGACAGTGGGATTCGAATGAAAAAGACAGCTTTGTATGCTTACGGCCCTCAATTCTTCTTCAGAAGATCCCCATAGAACATCTAAACCCTCACAATTCAAGCTCTCCAAGCAAACCGGCACATCGTGTTCCCAACCCAAGAGCCACAAAATTTTGTCACAGGCCAGATAGGAGTGCCAACTTGCAACATCCCAAATTCGGAAGGATTTATACTTGAGAAATTGTATTCAGTGCAAACTGAATACAAGCTATCGGCATGTTCCAAATTAACGGTCTCAATCCTGATTCACCATTGTAACCGCTGAGTCAGGATCGGTACCGTAAACTAAGTTAATTTGAAAGCATGCGCATTAAGTTCCCTCGAGCAGTGGAGGGAGGTAAGACATGTAGTTTGAAGTGAACGAAGACCGGAAGTGCATGAATCCACACTCCTCACTGAGAGAGGGCAGCTAAGCCGTGCGCCGCGTGATCGCCTGTCACTTTCAGACTGTCATAACGTTGAAGACAAGGAACTTCTGAAAACAACACGTATAAAATGGCTGGAATCGAACGTATGTTGGAGACACAATGGATTTCGGCGCACTACTAATCGCATCCGATGAGGAAGAACAGGGAGCTACCAAAGATGAAGTGGCTGAGATATTGCTGGAACGGAATCAGAGTCAGATGAACCAGGAGAGGAAGACTCTGATAGGGAAAGTATTCCATCGTGGTGCAGTGATGTCTCACCTCATAATCCTTCGGATTTCATTGAACACTGCTAAGCAGTTAGTGAAATCTCCAAATGCGAAAAATGACAGATTTTTTGAATTGCATTTGAGCGGCGAGGTTTTGGATCTTATCGTCAAGGAGACCAACCGTTACGAAACTTATTGCAGTGAAGATCTTTTGAGGAATCGACTCTGATG